ATGGTCAGAAATTTTTGAAGTTTTTTTTTTGAAACTAGGACCCCAGATACTCCATGACACTGGCAGGAAATTTTTTGCCTATGTGACATGGCTTAAACATTTCCGAGCAGTGTGACATGGTCAAAAGATTTTTAAGCAGTGTGACATGGCAAAAAGATTTCTTAGCAGTATGACATGGTTCAAAAATTTCTTAGCAGTGTGACATGACTCAAACATTTTTCAGCAGTGTCACACAGCTAAAAAATTTCCTACCAGTTTGAAACACTTCAAAAATTTCTTACCAGTCTGACACCCTTCAAATATTTCTGACCACTTTCACTTGACTAGGATATTTTTGAACACAATTTATCTACCCAAATATTTCTAGTCACAATATTAGAGGTCAAACATTTTCTATCAAATCCAATAATATATTTTCTTCCAAAGGCCAAAAAAAAACCAGCCAGAGGATCTATTAGCCTGGATAATTTTTCAGGATTTCCTAGCTAATAGCTTGGTCAAGGTGGGTGACTGAAGTGTTTTTAACAAACACGGAGCATATTCCCTCTCATCACCTATTGCGGAGGATCCTGATCTTCTACCAAGTTGGCCTCATTGAGGGTGGCATCTCTGACAACGGTGAGATTCTCCCCTCATTGTTTATATCTTTGACTCATTTCCACTTGCAGATCCTGCATCAGCTCTACCTAACGTCAAGACAATGGAGGGCGTGCTCCATATCATCTGTCTTGCAGTCCTGATTATTCTTGGCAATGTTCTGGATTTCAGGACTTACAGCACTCCAAATCAAGGGGAAGATGATGAAGCCTCTCCTACCCAAAGAACATTGATGGTCAAAAAGTCTTGATGATGCAATTTTGCCAGAGAAGAGTTTTGCGGATCCATGATGTGAGGAGGACGACCCTCAATGTAACCATCATAAACAAGTTGCATAAACTCTTGGAACTGGTCATTGAAGACACCATGCTGAATGATGAAATATAAATGATTATTAAAACTCATAAACAAGTTTGACACGTACATGAAATTCGGGTGTGAATTCATGAGGATTGCCATCAATATCGTAAACTGTGAATGACCGGTCACAGACAATGCGAGGAGCTTCTTCTCTACTAAGAGAAATCTCTTCATCCTTGCCCTGTAAAGCTGATTAGCATGAACAAGACTGAAATGAAATGAAATGCACATAATTGTGCAGTATTGCAGGTTCAAACATTGAGAGAAAATCATCAACGTTAATCGGATTACCCGGAGAATCCCCAACAGAGCTGAATCGAGAGCGTTTCCTAGGATTATCCTCCCTACCAGTCACTTGGGAAGCCTCTGTTTTGGGTCCCTTAGCATCTACCGTTGATGAGCCAACCCTGGGTTTCTTCAAGTTTCCAGGATCACCCCTTGAGGTCTTCCCAATGGGCTTCTTGAGATCACTGTCTGTAGACTCATCTGATGATGATGACGAAGATTCTGGAAATGATGAGCTTCAGCAATAAACAAAAACAAGTTCCATGCCTCACCTTCATCATCAGTATCATCATTGTCAGAAGATTGTGCCTCAGGATTTGTTTTTTTTGCAGGCCTAGCTGACGAATGCTTTAGGATACAATTGATTTTTATCAGATCATAAATGGAAGAAAAAGGTAACATGTCAACCCACCAGAATCTTCATCTTCAGATGATGATAAATCACTAAGGGCACCCATCTCAATATCGTCTTGGCCTGGAAGATTTTTTTCCAACACATTGAGCGGGAGGGAGATATGAGAGGGATCAACAGTCCCAAGGTGAGGGGATAATGTGGGACAGGATTGAAAAACTGAGTTGAGAGCCAAGGCCAATGAAGTTTCTAGGCTTTCTGGCATTGGGGAACCACCATCGTCCATTGGGGGAGGCGATTCAGGATGGTCGGAGGTGGGTAATTGCATGGGGGGTGTTAGGGTGCCACTGTCTTGGTCCATTGTGTGGGCAGGCATAGAGGGTGAATCAGGACGTTCAGAGATGGGTGATGACATAGGCAGCATCGGGGAACCACCATCTTGGTCCATTGTGGGGGCAGGCATAGAGGGAGATTCAGGACGTTCAGGTGGTTAATGGTGTGGGGAGCATTGAGGAATCACCATCATGGTCCTTCGGAGAAGGCATAGAGTGAGCTTCAGGCTGCTCTTCATTGATGAGAGATGCATCATCCCTCATTGATGTTGAGACTTGAGGATTGGGGATGACAGAGGCATCTGGCATGGGCCCACTAACTTGCGTATCCAGAGTAAGGGTGTTGGAGGCACCTTCTATAGCCAATTGCCTTCCAGCAGCCAAACTAGGCTGTAAGGGTGGTGAAGAAGAAGAGGGCTGGTCTGTGAATACAACAAAGATTAGATAAATGAAGTTTGAAAAGCAGTCTAACATTTCTCACCTAAAGGGGCACAAAACATGCGACAATCACAGGGGTTGTTGGATGCTGCCTCTATCTCGGCCCATGGCAATCTCAACACCAGTTGAGTTAAAGCTTCATGAGGCGTGGTAGTCACATCAGCAAGGGCTATAAGAGAGCTCCAGATGGATCTCTCAATTTGAAGCACAAGGGGTGTCTTCCAAGGAGTTAACTCTACAAAGGCTTCAAGAACGAGACAACGATTATAGGACCTGGTGATTATCCGGGATGGAAAGAGCAAATAGAAAGGAGTCAGGAGCAGTGCTAATTGTAGAGGTGTCCCAAGTTCGTGGAGGCTGTATGAAGCTGTCTCTCCAGCCTGTAACTGTTCCAGATAGTACTTCCCCTCCTCTTGATCATTGATAAACTCATCTGTAGAGTTCTCATCTTTGAAAATACTGAGATATATGAGTGTTGGATATCAACGTGATGTGAGTCTAACACACTGGAGACGGCCAGCTAAAATATCAGGATAGTCAGGCAGAGACCCATCTGGGAATTCAGTCATCTTGAGGTAATAAAGATGCAGAGTGGCTTGGAGAAAATTGTCAACCACATTAACATATGTCATTTTTTCATTGTTCTTGTTTGCCATCCATAAGAGTGCAAGGTGTTTGCTTCCTGTATGGAGGTTGTCAGGAATTTGAGGTAGTGCCGACTGACCCATAAGTTTCCGGAAGTTCAGCAGAACTTTGGGCTAATTATCTAATTTGTCAAACCCCTGCAAGAAAATTAGCTTGAGGATCATAATATATATATATATATCGACGTACATGAATCTTTACACTATCCCCCTCAGACTTGTTGAAAGACAAGGGAGGAAGCAGGCGAATGGGAGGCTGAGGAACACCGGTTTCACCATCAAGAGCCAAGACCTCAAGTGTTCGATATGCACAAAGAATGGAAGCGAGGTTTTTGTACTCCCCCTTTGATGATGCAATCGTTGTTGTTGAATGTAGGGTGACCAGGTGGGATGCTTTCAAGACTTTCGGGACATCAAAGCCTAGAAGTGTTGCCAAGTCGGTAGAATTGACAGCAAGTTGATCAAAGGCAAAGAGCGAGTGCTCAAATCAATTTAGCGAATTGATGAAGTGCTGAAAGCAGTCTGGTAAGTTACAGTTGTGAGGTGACATTACATCGGTTAAGTCAGTCAAGAGCTTTGGGTTTTGTACAATGTGTGGAGTGGCCCAGGGAAAGGCTGAGAACACAGGTGAGGCAGTACGGCATTCTGAAGGGCCTGATGGGGGTGAACCAGTGTGAGTGCTTGCTTTAGTGAGAGTGGAAATAGTACAGACAGTTAACCACGTGAGCTGAACTGGAGGTGTCAGAGTCCATAGCAGATTTCAAGTAGAAGTGGCTGAAGGGAGGTCAATGTCAATAGGGACAAATGAAACTACCGCGCATGCGGTAGTTTCCTTTGCATTTGTTTGGTATTGGTAGCCATATTTCCAAAGATTTAAATGTATTGCACTCTACATATGTAAACACAGTGCTAGGAAACTACCCAACCTCTCAAATAATCTCCAAGATTACCCCTCACCAAATGCTCTGTCATCTCGAAGCCCTAAATGGAAAGGAGCATCGTTGTTTGAAGGGGCAGCGGCGTTGTTGGAAAGGGGGAATGTTATGTATGTGAATGGCTTGACGTCGATAACAGGCGATGGTGTGATTCCAAGGGCGGAGCATGTTGCGTAAGACGATGAGTGAGGAAGGGGGATTGAATGTGACAGTGGAGTATAACTCTTGCTGTAGATCTTGTGCTGAATTGGAGACATAGGACACTGGTGACCGACGAATTTTGCAGTTGATTCTGGTTTGGTTAGTTGAACGACGTGCGTATGAACGCAGTGCAACACGTCTCCATCTCCAACCTCATCTCCCTTCAACTTTGCCCCCGGCTACAGCGTCTCTTCCTCGCAACCACACCCAACCTCTTCAAGGTAACCTCCATCTGCCAGTCTGCAAGCCCATTATACTGCACGTCTGTATGTGTCCCATGAGACCACGTTGCTGAGTGCGATGTGGCATGGCTTTCTCCTGTGGTGTGTCATGGTGATGTGGTTCTGGTGGTGTGGTTCTGGTAGTGTGGTGACGTCATGGAAGACAGGTGTTGTTAGCGGGTTGGATGGGGACGTAGGATGAACTCACCTGATGATACAAACAGAAACGACGGACGATGAGATGTCATCGTCCGTTGGTATGAGAGGTCGTTGTCCGTCGGTATAAGAGGTCGTTGTCCGTCGTTACGAGAGGTCATCGTCCGTGGTTTGGTTGCCACATTGCCAACGGCAAGCGACGTGGCATCTGGCATTGTCATCAGGAAAATGAAAGGGGGTAGATGAGTGTGCACTCACCAATAGACAATGACGACGAACAGGGTGCCGTTCACACGCCGTTTGGTTATGTCGTCGTCGTCGTCCCTGGTCCTCATTGGTGGTAAAGTCTGTTGCCCGTCGTTGTCGTTTAAATGGTGGTTGGTGATGTTCGAGTGGTGGCGATGGTGGTCGCTTATCGCCCACTGTCATGTTGAATGCATTAGGAGTCGACATGCATCGTATTTGTGTCGTCGTGCAAGGCGTTGAGTCAATTGAAAACAAAGTAGAGAACACAGTGTCTTTGTTTTCAACATCATTGAAAACAAATACCTGCCTTCTGTGCGGTAGTTCAGATTGCATATGATGATTACTATTTGCCTTGAACATTCCTGCCAAATTATGACGTAGGCTATTTCGCACAACGTCACCAAAGGCCACCACCTGTGCCATCCACCCGCCGATGCCCTACACCAGCTGCCCAGTAACCACAGCTCCCCAGTAATGAGTGCTCACAACAGCGTGCAACACATTGCCACATCGCTGCCAGGCGACGTGACAACGAGATGATGAATGACGTGATTTTGTCGTCTTAGGTGAGTCCCGACTGTGCTGCCTTTTACTGACACCATTATGTGAAGGCAACGTCACCCAGCAACGCCACGTAACGACCCTTGCTATCCACGCACGTCGCCCACCACCCTCAACAACCACAGGACGTCACCTGAATACCATTTCACACAGCAAACCAGTGCCCACGACCCTTGACAACCACTGCACCTGTTTGTACTATCGGGTACCTCGCTATTCGACCTATTGTTCTACCAACTATCCGATTCAATGTTGGATAGCACCCTTCTGGAGCAGGATATTGATCAAGAGCTTCTTCTTAATGAGGCTGAAGAAACTTATTTACCGGAAGATTCACAAAACCTCACTCAAGCATCAAGTTTTGGTGCAGGTTCACGTTATCCACTAGATGGAAAAGAATTCATGCGAAAGGATGGGCCGATCAATGAACAGTATGTTGTCCCAGATGCTGATCTCATCATCTTAGAGCGGCAGGATGTTCGCTTCTACTATGTCTACCGTTTACGAAATCCACATCCACACATTGCACTCAATGAAATCATGCCCGATGCATCCAAATATGTAAACGAGACCTGGGTATACATTGTCGACACTTCACCAAAGGAACAAAAGAAGAGATTTGAATTTGAAGAGACATTGTCAATTCCAATTGGACCTGACTCATTAATGGATAAACTTGGTGTGTACAGTCTGTGCTGAATGCAAATCAACCTGTTAAAATTTATACATAGGCTCATTGGAAGTGCCACCTGGGGTTGCTCTATATGCTTCTACACCCTTGACATGTCTTGACTGATTGCAGGATGTCTTGAATGTCTGTATACTGGATGGGTACGTTTTTGCTCATCCACACAAAAATCATTGTCTGAGTATGAAATAGAGCGAAGATGATGACTGAAGAACAGATCAAAGCATTTGATGACTTACAGGCGGATCTGATTGGCCCAGAAGAAGAAGCTACTCTTGATCCACCAACTTGCGATGAAAATGGAGTATTGAGAGGGGGAACATGGTTTGAAAGGACTGGTGCAGTTGGAATCAATGGAACCCGTTGCTATCCCATGGCATCTACGACCCAACATTCCCATGCAATGTGGAGTCCCCACTGGTTTGGAAAAATTTTGGAGTTTATGGATGAACAACTTAAGTTCAGAAAGAGATTTATCAAGGTACCATTATTTTGTTCAGCTATTCCTGCTGCTTAACAGGATTTCTAGTTACACAGTGAAATTGGAGCTCTTGCAATGAAAATTTGCCTTCCAAATCACATACAAGAGCTGTACCAACGCTACACATCTACTTCCAACATTCCGAGACTGGGAGTTGAAGATAATTGTTATTTTCAAGCCTTACAGTTGAACATTTCGCCTGCAATACCTTGGGAGAAACATTTTGGTAAGTGCCTCAGTTATTTGACTACAACTATTTCTGATTCAATGTTGTAGACACTGCCTTGGTGGGCATGGGGATCTTTGGACAAATGCAGGGCCACCGTGATGATGGAGATGATCCAGGAGGATATACCTGCATGATGTCGAACACTAACGTTCCAGAAACAGGTGGAACAGAAATGGGAAGATTCTTTGTACTAAACAACTTTCTCTATGTCAAGATGGCTTGCTTTTATTTGGGCATATTCAATGGGCTCTACAGACACGGGGGTACTCCAATTATCCTGGGACCTGGCATTGAGTTGAAGAAGAATCTATATAGAATCAATGCTGTTCTGTACTCACCCCGTTTCATGCTTTCCGGAGCTGGTCAATACTCAATCGGGTTCGCCAGTATGTTTGGACAACTGTTCAAATTGTCAACAGAGGTGATGTCATTGCTGTGAGTAACAGACATTGACATTTGCCACAGAAAACTGACAAAATCTAGCTCCAATAAAGGGGAGATAACAAGGGAAGCCAACTTTGTTTGGGACGGTTTGGTCCTTATGGAGAATAAATCATTATTCAACTTTGTGGTGTGGGGCCTGCTCCAAATATCTGCCTATATTGTTCGTCAGCTTCCATCATCAATGGGGGTACGAATAGACCAGGCGAAATTTACATCTTCATTCACCATGAAAGATACTACAAAAACTATCCCTGCTGAACCTTGGCCTGAAGCACCAGACAGTTCAGTCTCTGATCCTGTTTTACCTGGGGAGGTTGACGAGGACCAGATGGATCCATCTGTCAAAGCTGCATATATCCGCAAAAAGATCCACATGGATTGGATTGACCACAAGGCCAACATGGCCAAGTTTATACCATCCCAGTATGGCCATGTCAAGGACTACACAGATATGACTTGTGGGTGTGGGCCAGTGCTTTGCATGGCATGTATGAGTCCTTTCTGTGGACTCTAAATTTAATATTAGGAAATTGGTCATGTAATCACTTTATGATTTTCTGAGTTTTGTTCTATATTTGCAAATATACCCTGAGCTCTGAGCCTAGCCATCAATATCATAGCAACAATGTGTGCTATTCTTTTCTTTTTTTTTTTTTTTTTTTCTTTTTATAGCAAATTTTCCCAATTTTATAACTATTTTTCTGTTTATGGTAAAATATTCCCACAGTCCTGTTTGCATATATCTCAGGAAAGAGGATGGTTAGTTATATTTTGTGACCTATAATAGCATGCTCTATATATTTGTGATGAATTTCCTTTTTTGGGTTAAAATTCCCACAGTATCAGAAACACAGCCTCTCACTTAGCTCCATAAACAACAATTGTAGCCCCTTTCCTTACCTTTATAGATATATATAAATGATGTCATGCAGACCATTCCTCATTGAGAAAAACACAAAATACTGAAAAAATTGGACACTTTTTGGAAATTGTCATGCATTTTTGACCAATATCTCAAAGAGCAAGAAAGCTGGTCTCAAGATATAGTCACATTGCATGATATGACAATATTTTTACATGGTTGTCTTGATTTCCATATTTGGATATGGACCCTGAATACTGGACACAGCCCCTTCAACACCATGGCAACAGAGAAGATCACTCTTAATTTTGGGGTATTTTTTTCTGATTTTCTGGCAACTTTTAGGTGGTTTCTATATTTAGATATTGACCCTGAACCCTGAACAAAGCCTCCCCACCTTACTAAGCAATATTCTGATTTTTACATATTTTTTGCTGATTTCTTTTACTATTTTTCCTGATTTTATGGCTGCTTTTCTGTTTAAGGGAAAATGTTCCTGCGGTGATGAAAGGTAAATGAATCAATGAATGAAAAATTTGCCTAAGTCCTCAGTTGATAAAGAATGAGTCTTACTCGTAAACTCGTAAGGACTCATAACAAACCGAGATACTGAAGCCAATAGGCCAAAACGTAAGTATATCACCATATACATTTGCTTCATACTGAATCATAGTCGCAGATGTGGGTGGGGGCTCCAGTAAGAAAAACAAGAATGAGGGTCAAAACCGAGAGTGGGAGCTACAACGTAAGTGGTTCTTCTTATTTATCTAACAGGTTTACTGAGATACTATAGGTATTGGTGCAAGGCTAGCAAGAAAAAAACAAATTGATGGGATCACAATTGACAGCATGAGTCTATTGCATCAACATCTTCATCAAGGTAAGTAGCGAGAGGGTAAAGTTTAATGTACCACATCAGTTGATGAGATGCAATGTTAGAGACAGTCACACGACGAAAGCTGGAAGCTCAAAACACTCATGCACAATCATCAAACCAGGAGAAGAATGGCCGAAGCACCAGAAAGAGAAAACATACCAAATACTCTTCTGGAGGAGAAGGTTGGGTCAATCAAAACAGAGTAAAGGGTGGCTAATAACAGATCTTTCAGACAGTCAAGATGGGAATGAAGATCAAGATGATCAGATGGATTTGGACTCACCTAAAGCAAATGCATCTTTTGCTGATTATAATGGTTAGTTTAGTAAATACAATTAAAGTCTTATCTGATTTGTTCTTTACAGATGATGAGTTAGAGGATGAAGAACCCTGGGATCTAGAATATGAAGGGTCTGGGGTTGATGAGGAGGAGGCCTTGGATAATGAAGACCCCTTGGATGATGAAGAACCCTCTCAAGATAAGTACACATACAATAGTGAAGGAGAAAGTGAGATAGACTTGGATAATGAAGATGATGGACCAACAGGTAACACCATCTACTGACTCTGGTGAGAGAAGAATACTAATATATTACAGAACATATCAGTCCCTTGGATGACTTCTTGGGCACTATTAACTTCAATGCAATAGCCATCTGCACTGACCATTTCCTGGGATCTCTTGCTTCATTATGGTTGGAAGAACAAGTAAACCGAATGGAATTGATGGCCAACTCTATCAGTATAGAACACATTGTTCGAAATTTAAGTGACTCTCCATGGGCTTTAGACCATCCCCAAAACATTGCAAAAATATGGCTAAAACATGATCTTCTCTTGAATTCTATTCACCTTTCAACCATGGAGCTCTATACCTACAGATTGACTTGTGGGTGTGGGCCAGTGCTTTGCATGGCATGTATGAGTCCTTCCCATGGACCTCCAATGCTGAAAAATATGTAGAGTAAGTTTTTTTCTAAAAAGGCATATTTTAACATTTTCATTAACAATGGATGCAAGCCACATTAACTTGAACCAAATTAGTGTGAAGAGATTGTAAATAATATTACAGTAACAATGTCTAAGAAATTGTAAAATCAATTGACATTTATTTACAATTCTTTATAATCATTTGCTTCAAATCAATGTGGCCTGCATTCAATGTTATAAATGTATTTATTAAGCTAGAATTCTATTTTTAATGTTAAATTTATCAAGACAAAGTTTTAATTTAAAGTTGAGAATATACAGCTAAAACAAGTTCCTGATCTTGATAGTATCTAAGATCATTATTGCTTTTATCATCTATCTGCCCATCTTCTATACACTTATTTTTGGTGGTTATCCCATCATGGAACCATACTTTACCTTCATATGAAAAAACTCTAGAGGTGAAATGATTATCCCCATGGTATATGATCCCTCTCAGGCTCAGTAAGACTTCTTCTCCATTTACTACAAACTTTACCTTGTGACTAGTTTTAGTATTACAGTATGGGTACTCCAGGATGATAATCTTTGGAACCTCTGCATAGGATACATGCTCAATCATTTCACCTGAGCAACCCCCACATATTTCTGTAGATGGCTTTTGAACTGACCCTATCCATTTTGAAGTTGATTCTGGTATAGGGTCAGATGCATGTAGAACATATCCCAGTGTATCATCTACTTCATATGCATTTCCACAGTCTGAACATATTATTTCAGCCACTGCATTATTTTTTTCATACTTAAGCATTTCAAATGTAAGTTGTCCAACACTAGCTCCTGTTTTGCCTATAGGAAATTTGATAGGATCTAAATTATGAAGATCATGTCTAAGTTCATCTCTTACATTTTCTAAAGTAAGTGTTCCTTCAAGCACCTTGTTGAAACCAGCTGCCAATGCACTTCAGTCACCCAGTGCCAACTGACTATTAGTCATGCAAACTCCACTTAAGTTACATGACTAAATGTCATAGACCATATCTATATTCTAGATATATATGGGTCCTAGAAAGCCCTGAAATCTAAAATATATTCTTGAGACATGGACCCTGAAATGTCACACAAAAATTATAATGTCTGTGTCACACCCCCAAAATATATTTTGCAAGTGAAATGCAGTAAGGATATATTTTTGGTGAGTGGACCCTGAAATGTCACTGTCACACCTTAGAAATATATTTTTGCCCTGGTTTGGCCTTAGGATATATTTTGTGAAGCAGATGTGGTAAGGATATATTTTTCTGGTCTGTAGGGGTGTCAGGGGTCCTAGTTTCAGCAAAAAACTTGTGATTTTTTTTGATGTCTCTGGTATATATTCTGGAAGATTGTGCAATGATTTCCACTATGTCTGGCTTGTGCTTCCAGTATGTAGGTAGCAATAAGGGCATCAATAGCATCTGTGATCTACTTGAGTTCCTTGAGTATCATCCACTTCCAATCACACTATGAATGCAGTCCAGTTACAGATTCATTCATTCTCCTCTAACAATTTTGGGCCTCAATGACATGTGTGATTCACCTTGAAGCTATTCAGTCCAAGATTCCTGAGTTGCTTAAGTATTATCCACTTTGACACTATGGATACAGTTCACACTATGGAATTTTTTAGCTGCTTAGAAATCCCCTCCACTTCTGCCTTACTTCACCTCTGAGATCTCCAGTTGCACCTTATCTGCATACCCCACCCACATCTGTATTACCATCCTTCACAGACAAGAGTTCACCAAGTTCTTTGTTGTTTCTCCCCTTCTCTTCCTTTCTTCCTCTCCTCCTCTTCTTCTCTCCTGTTATGGTATTACTTCTTATACCCACCATTATACCTTTCTTTCCCTCTCATTCCCTCTCATCTCACCTACCTAAGTCTCTATGACATTTCTCAAGTACTTACAAGTTATTTTCACATTTACAATTAAATTCTAAAGATGTGTATACCCGAATCCAAGCATTATGACTTGTATTACACAATGCGACTGTTTGTCAATATTTGACAAACTTAGAATAACCAAACAAAGGTTCGTCAAATACAATTTGTACCTAAACAAAGAACAAAGAACTTCTGAAACCATAACGGCGAAAGTGCTTGAAGGTTACAGAAGATTCTAAGGTATTCTTTTAGGATCTAGAACTCATGTAAAGTATATAAGCTGTTGTAAAGTAGGGCATGAAGACATCATTACCTTTACCCCAAATTTGTGTGAACTTCAGATCTTGAGAAAGACTAAAGTGCCAATGCATCCTTAAGTAATTGATAAAGCTCTATGCTATCAACTACTTAGTCAGTATCGTTAAAGTCTTAGTACTAACACTCCTGATATACGAATGCATTTAACATGTCAGTATATGTCACTTCATCAGCATTAAGATATGCCGGAACTCACGTGATCTGGGATATTCCTCTATCAACTCAACATTGCATGGACAACAGGTCTCTAGTTAAGTTTCATTTCTCTCAAAGTACTAATGTATTTTGTATTTACAGTAATACACCAACATTAGAATTTAGTGAACCCTAACATCTCCCTGCCTTCCTCTTTCTCTTGAGTTTTGATTGTAAATTTATGTACAAAGAGTTCACCAAGTTCTTTGTTGTTTCTCTCCTTCTCTTCCTTTCTCCCTTTCCTCCTCTTCTTCTCTCCCTGCCTTCCTCCCTCTTTCTCTTGAGTTTTGATTGTAAATTTATGGTCAATGAATTCTATTCACCATGTCATAGCATGGAGTCACACATATCTTTCCACTAAATCCTGAATCAAGATCTATTTTTCAACCATATCATGAATATTTTAATTAGATGCTGAACCAAGATATATCTTTCCACTTTATCTTGAACAAGGATATATTTACAAGACATATATCTCAATTATATCCTGACCCAGGATATATCTTTCACCTATATCTTGACCCAGGATATATTTCCAACAAGATATTGAACCAGGATATATTACCATTCTCAAGCTATATCTTGAACAAGGATATATATTCAACAAGATATTGAACAAGAATATATTACCAAGATATATTCTTAAGCTATATCCTGAACCAGGATATATTATCAAGATATATATTTGATATAATTTTGAACTATATCATGAGACAAGATCTTGGTACAGTACATATTTACATAGTAGAGCTACCTGTAGAATCCAGAAGAGAAAAGTGCATTTTATTCAATATAATTACATAAATTTACATTCTACATTTCATATTGAATAAAGGGAAGAGGGAGGGCAGTGAGGAAGGGGGTGGGGGTGGTGGACAATAAGGGAGAGGGGAAAGGGGTGGTAAGCAAAGAGAGGGGTGGTGGGCAATCAGGGAGGGGGGGAAGGGCTTATAGACAATGAGGGAGGGGAGAGGAAGTGGCAGGCAATGAAAGAGGGGGGGGAGTGCTGGGAAGTGAGGGAGAGAGGGAGGGAGCGGTGGGGAGGGGGAACAGTGGAGAGTGAAGGGGGAGGGGAGTGATGGAGGGGAAGGGAGTGATGGGAGGGGAGTGATGGGGAGAGGGAGGGAGGGGTTGGGAGTGATGGAGGGGAGGGAGGGAGGGAGTGATGGAAGGAGGGAGAGCTCACCTGGGCTCATCGTTGCTTGTGTCCGTTCAGGCGGTCGTTTTCGTTGGCGGGCAGTCGCCTTCATTCATGGGCGGTTGTAGACGTTCGTGGGCGGTCGTCCTCGTCTTGTTGGTGGGTGCTCATGGACGTTCGCCAGTGTTCGTGGTCGTTCCGTGGGCAATCGTGATCTTTCGTGTGTGTTCATGGACGTCGGTGGGCGCTCGTGGACGTTGGTGGGCGCTCGTAGCCGTTGGTGGGCGCTCGTGGTCATCCATGGGCGTTCGTCTTCATCTGTGGTCCACCGCCTGCGTCCTCATCCATGGTCGTCTTCGTTATTTGGGCGGTCGTCGTGGCCCTCGAGGCAAAAGAAATACGACGAACGCGACATCGGTCATCGTTTGTCGTTCGTCGTCTGTTTGCCACGTCGCAGCTAGCGACGTGGCACTTGGTATTAGAAGGGAGAACCGTGGGGTGGTGACTGCTTACCAGGCTGTGTTGGCATGACCTCGTCACCATCGTCCTCGCCTGCCGTCGACCTCCATTGATCTCGTATGCTTGCGAGTTGGTGACATGGCGCTGCCGCGTCGTTCCTGTGGTGTCAGGGTGGTTGTGGTTGGTCCGTGACGACGTTGTGGTCGTCGTCTCATCGACTTTTGTGGGTGCTGATCGTCATGATTGAGGTCGTCGACGCATGGTGGGGGGTTGCGTGACACATGGCGGCGACGTGGTGGTAAGGTGGAGTAGTTGGCGTTGGTTGTCGGTTGAAGCGAGAAGGAACGTCACCAAGTCACACTGTGTGACGTTGGTATCAACACGCATAGGATCACGCTCACGTTGCGCTCACGCCCAAATTTGAAATTTTGTAGTGTCCCCCTGTTCATTTCAAACTTTGTAGAGTGGGACTACAAAAAATTTGTAGTGTCCGCATTTTTCATAACAAAACTTTGTACTGTTCATATTGGATTTGGGACTACAACAATGCAGTGTCTACTGGTAAGTATGTTGCAGTGTCCTTGACTCTGAGTAGGTACAT